TCCTCGAGAGCCTGACGAAGCTGATCTTCGGTATATTGAGGCATTATATATAGAAGAAGACATGTGCAAAAGATGAGCCCATTTGGACGCGAATTGAAAATGTTGTGATAAAAGGAGGTTGGGGGTGGGCATTGGGTTGTGGTGGATTTTCGCGTTTTTGTGGGTGCCAGAAACAGGGGGGTGCCAGGAAGTGGGTATGTTGACTTAAACAACTCATGAGCAAGCGACGTTCACGTTAGGCGTATTGTCCTTATAGATCCAAGGACGAAGCAAAAACTCGGCTTATCTTTTCGGCCTCTCGGGTGTTCAGACCGTAGAGTCCGCTTGTGTAAGATTATGGGGCCTGGAGTGCTTGAAACCCCGGCGAAGGCTCGATCGCAAGCCTCGCCCGGCAATCAAGCAATTGCGGACTCCATTGTCGCTGCATGGAATCCCTCCAACACAGAAGACCGGCACCAGCAAGGACAGCAACAACAGCAGCAGCAGCAGCCTCTTCAATCCAACCAACAAAGCAAGACATCTCGAAACCAGCCCCTCCCACGCCGCGTCTGCACAGCATGCCGTCGCCGGAAGGTCGGTTGCGACAAGAAACAACCGTGTCATCACTGCGAGAAGTCTGGAACAGACTGTGTCTATCCGCCTGAAGGAAGCTCGGCTGCGCGGCAGTTTCTCACTGACAATCAGCTGTGGGAGCAGCTTCACCGTCTGGAGCCGATGTTCAAGACCTTGGCAGAATGTATGCAACAAGGCAATATTCCAGGATCCTCTGCCCCCATCGTAGGGTCAAGCTCCCGTCCAGAGTCAATATCAACACTCCCTCAAACGCAACTACCAGAATTCAATAATGATTCTGCCTCACCTTCACCACCAACCCCCCCGAATTCAATCGGCTCGTCGACAAGCGCATGTAGAGATACAAGGAAAGAGAGCGTCGCGATCAATTTCAGCACTATGCAGGTGGAACAGGCCGCCATCTCTCTCGGCCCGAAATCTCCGGCGGGGATTCTTGATTCCACAGACGGTGACGCATCGAACATCGAGATTCCCAACATTGACTGTGACAGTGCTCAAGGCGATTCGGTCAACTCTTGGTCACCATACGGGACCTCGACGGGGAAGCTCGTTAGGGATGATGGTCGTGAAAGATACGTCAGTGGAACATTTTGGGAAGCTTTGCATACCGAGGTACGTCAATCTACCTTAGAGAAGGCAGTTAGTGATTCTCTCGTTATATGCTGACTGTTTATCGATAGAATGACCTGGAAGATGGCGTGATCAGCGAGGACGATTCCGAGTTCGAAGAGCAGACATCATCGTCTCGGTCAGAACTTTTGCAGTATTCCTTGCTATCTACTGGCGGCACCCAAGAAACCGACACTTACTCCCTGCATCCTCCTCGCAATCAGAGACTAGAAGCATGGCAGCTGTACAACACCAACGTACACCCTGTCGCTACCGTCCTGCACATACCCTCGGTTGAACTGGCCGTCCTCGAAGCAATGCAAAACCCACAAAATCTTACAGCCCCCTTGGAAGCCCTCTTGTTTGTCATCTATGTTGGTGCAGTAAACAGTCTGTCCGATGATGAATGCGAGGCGCGTTTCGGATCAGCTCAATGTGATTTGTTGGGGAAATTTAGGCGAGGTGCTGACGCTGCGTTTGCTCGTGCGAGGTTGATGGTAACGGATGACATGCTTACACTGCAAGCTTTTGTGGTTTACCTCATTACGTTACGGTGCAGAGACCCTACGTATTCATGGAGCATGACAGGACTAGCTGTGCGGCTTGCTCAGTCCCTAGGCATGCATCGAGATGGGAGCACGTTCAATCTCCCCCCTTTCGAAGCTGAGATGCGTCGACGATTGTGGTGGAATATCTGCATTCTAGATACGCCAGCGTCCGAGGACTACTCGTGTTCATCTGGCCTGTAAGTTGTTCCTGCCCATTAAACGCTTGCATCGAGACTAATCACGTTTGTCATTAGTCTAGAGTTGAGTAGCTTCGATTCAAGACCACCAATCAATGTGAATGATGAGGACCTATACCCGGGTATGACAGAGTACCCCTCCGAGTCTAAGGGAATCACGACCATGTCCTTCACTGCTGCCCGTTGCTGGGCATCAGATATCTGGCGTACGATAATTGACACTCGGAGAATCGACCCAACATCCGGAATGAACTTTGTCTCAATGACGATAGCCGACAAGGAGGCCTGGGTTGAGAGACAGCGAGAAAATATCGCCAGCAAGATATCCAAGAGTCAACCATCTCATGGCTCTTTACACTGTGTAAGTTGCACACAACTAAGGCATCCAAACTTCATACATGACATCCAAACTCTGACGTCGCATTTGCTCAAGCTTACAACCTCCTTTGTCGGCACCATTGTCGCAAATCTACGCCTTATGGTCCTCAACCCATTATCATCTGGTGTTTCCCTCACCGACGAGCAAAAGAGGCGCGCTTTCCAGAACGCCATCGACTGTATGGCGCATTCGTACCGTCTCCGAACTGATCCGCAAGTAGTGCAGTGGTCATGGCTTACAAAGTGCTACAATGAGTGGCACGCTTTTGCGGTTGTTCTTTCAGAGCTGTGCAACCAGCCTTTGGGTAGGGATGCCGACAAGGCATGGCGAGTTGTGGAGCAAAGTGCTGTTCTTCGTTGGGACTCATCAACGAGGCATAGTCGGGTACACCAGTGGCGCTCAGTAATGAGAAGTATTGACAAGGCGAGAAGACGGAGAAAGAAGGAGTTGGGTCGCCGGAAATCGTTTTTATCAGATCGGCGCTCATCGTCGGCATCCTCTGCTGCGAAACGTCCGATATTGGGAGGTCGGTTCTCGTCCAAGGGCATTGCAAGACCACACGCCAGCACGAATCTTGTTCAATGCGACAATGCTCAGTCGGGTGTAGTTTCTATGCCCCGTAGCGCTGAGCGAGAATTCGACACAGCGATGTATAATGCAGACGAGATGATAGGGCCCCTCTTGGAGATGGACGATATGTGCGATTTCACCAATGCAGACGGCCAATTGTATTTTAGTCATACTTAGAGTATCAAGTGAGCCTCTTCGCGGTCATGGAAATTTCGCGTCTCAAGATGTCAATTCTAACTAAGATATCTAGAATTTTCCAGAGCCCAGAGATGCGAGATCAGCACAGTCTTGCAGCCAAGACCCCTTGAATATCTTCCTTCGTCATGTGAATTATACCCAAGAGCTCGTTGTCGCGACTATAATCCTGTGCATGCTCTGGAGCAAAGGTCGCTCTCATTGCAAATGCTGCGAATGCCTTTGGGCTGAACTTGCCCGATGCTAGCTCATGTTCGGCGTTCTTGACAAGCGATTCGGTGTTGACTGCAACCGCCTTCCAAGCGTGATCTTGATCCAACGCTTTGAGAGTTTCTAGTAGCTGCTTTGGGGTCATCGCAAGGTCTCGGATACGAACGGCCTTGTTCTTAGTTGCGTCCAGGTTCTTGAGGATAGCAGCAACAGCCTGCGCGACTGTCTTGATCCTCGTTGCAGAAAATGTTGTGTCCCCGCCATCGAAGATGTTCACTGTCCGGGTCGAGAAGTTCGCAAATGCCCCGAGTGACAGGCCTTCGTCAAACAAAACGCTGTTGTAGACGTAGGTGTAAGTCAATCCAGTGCCCCGGACTTCGTTCTCCAGGTAATCTTCGACCTCTACCTTAGTTCGGTAGGTCGGAAAGGCACGAATCTTAGGGTTCTGGAGATCCGCACCGAACTCCGACGGGATGAATCGTTTTACCCCAGCGGCGATCGCAGCATCGATGAGTTTGAACTGGCTCTGCAATCCATTCTGCTTGCCAACTGCAGAAACTACAGCGTCGGTGCCCCCAAGAGCATTCTGAAGTGACTCGGACGAATCATAGTCGACTTCTACCACTCGGGCTTTGACAGGGTAATCAATCGGGGTGCTTTCGTGGCGAATTAAGACTGTCACATCGAACTCTGCATCGAGCAGGGATTCTAGGATACGAAGACCCAAGTTACCGCTCGCCTGATCGAGCACGCTCTTCGAATCAGTTGATTGCTCTGGGATTGAAGTGATCGTCGTTGATCAAAGCATGTTATGACTCACCCCAGCCAAAGCAACGGTCTTGGTTGCGTTGTTCTCTGATACAGCCATCTTTGTGCGTGTGGGAAAGAGCTTGAATTTGGATTTGTAAAAAGAGGACAGCGATGGATCACAAAGACAAACAGAATGGTAGAGTCAAGGGGCTGACAGTTGCATTCTAATATCCCTCGCGACTTTGAGCAAGATTAGACCTTCTGCGGGGAGAAGGCTACCTACATTACGTGACTCTCGGGGTCGTTGCGCCGCCTCGCTCTTTCGGCCGGCTAGATGTGATCTGCCCGCCGCCTGTTCGGCACTTCGACGGTGCGTCGCTTCTAGGTGTGAAGAAGCAGTTTGATATTCAACGGATTAGCCCTGGTGTATGCTACAAGACTTTATTAACGTGCATGTACAAGAAAAAGTATAGCAAGTGCCATTCTCCTAAGTTACTAGTACGTGCTAAAGTCCTAAGTTTTTTTTTGCTTCTTGATCAAGTTGTTTGTGTTGATCCGGTACATGGCAACAAGAGCCTCCTTCGCCTTTTCCATATTCAAATTTTTCTGTCGCTGCTGAATCTCCCGCTGGCTCTCAAGCAACTTATCCCTGATTTCAGCCCACTGCAAAGTGGATCCTGTCTCTGCAACGGTCACTGGGCAGACTTTGCCTCCTTGCTTCCTCCAGACTCCGTCTATGAGAACAGCCTCGATGTCTCGAATATCGCTGTGACGAACAACCGCAGTCAAAGGATCCGAGTCTGCTACGCAACTCATTGTCACACTCCCGGCAGCATCAAAGAGGACCAGGTCAGCCAACTTTCCCTCCTTTAGGGACCCAATCTCGTCCCCCAAAAGCACCGCACGCGCTCCTCTGATGGTCGCTGCGTTGAAAGCATCCTGGGTGCTGCCCGCCGGCTGGAGATTCAGTTTCTGAGGAGCGCCATCTGGACCATTTGTCTCCGCAATCGCCTCGCGTTGGCGCGCCATCTGCAAAGCAGATCGAGCGAGAGACAGGATTGAGGATGTGTTATTTGTGTGGCAATCGACACCGATCGTGTAGTTAATGCCTGATGAGAAGGCAAGAGGCCAGCCGAAGCCCATCTGAGCTTCTGTGTCTGGAGTGCTCGACACAGCAACCTGGGTTTCAGCCAGTTTGGCTTTCTCGCTCGCATCAAGGCCTGTGGCGTGCGACAGCAAGATGTCACTAGGTGACTTGATGAGACCATAAGCCTCCAGGGTGTGGATCAGGGGGTTTGCTCCTGGCTTCCAATCAGAATTTCACATATCCATGGGAAAATAGTAACGCCAAGCGCCAGCATACGTACCAAAGGTTGGATTTTTCGCGTAGTGAGAGGTAAAAAGCTTGATACCAGCATGGCGAAGTCCGTTGAAAATGCCTACGATGGCCTCTTTGGGGAGAAACCAGTAGTCGAATCCGAATCCGATTTGAACCCTCCCGTTTCCATAGGGCTGTGCTTTTGCAAGCTCAAAGATATGCGCCATGCTTGAGTCTGGCATGATATCCATTGATAGCTCGCAGGTTTTAGAGTCCCATTTCGTGAAGTATGGGGCTTGGGAGTAGGCGAAAATTGAGCGAATGCCTGAAGCAATTGTGGCCGATAGCGCTTGGGTGGCTATGTAATGAGCTCATCAGTATGTTATTCTGCTAAATAACTCCTCCATTCGCCGAAAGAGTCCTACCATGGTCATTGGTTTGATTGCCATGAGCATGATCAAGTACGAAAGTTGTTCCAGCATCTATCGCTTCCAGTGCGCCACCCAACTGGCCCCAGAACATGTCCTTGGGAGAATAGACATGGCTTTGCCAATAACCTGAGCTGTGTTAACGAGGCTGCTCTATAATTCTTCGTTGATATAGACATAAAATAACTTACCAGAGGGAACGTAGTCAAAGATTGATTGGTCTGCATGGCACCCCTTGAGCTGGGTCTGCCAAAGGTGGTGATGGGTGTCAACAAAACCTGGGCTAATGATCTTGCCGCTGCAGTCGACGAGCTGAGCTCCTGCCGGGAGTGCAATTGCTTTTCCAATCTTGGCAATACGGTTGCCTTGCACAAGTATGTCGGTGTTCTTGAGAGGCGTCACATCATCTCGCTCATTGTGAAACAGTAGGGTGCCGCCTTTCAGCAGAATGGAGCCGGTTGCTTGAGGCGTAGTTTGGCTTGTTGTCATTGTGCGACGCGTATCGGGTGTCGGTTATGATTGGTCAAGCTAACAACGAAAATCCGTCCGTCCTCGAAGTACAATGTCACCGTTAGAGATGGAGTTCTTAAGCAGATGTATTTAGAGATAATTCACTTACCCGAGCCCGGACTTACGGAGCGGGGCAGCGACAGGTGACCGGCAACTTCGGCCGAGAAATCCGAGAAGGCCGGTACCTTGTCAATTGCATTAACCAGTCAACGAAAAGAGAAGCACGGCGCCGAAATGGAATTCAACAAGGATGTGGAACCCTTGTCATAGTCGCTGCTAACTACGTAGTACAGTATCAATGATGAAAAGAAAGAGACTTGTGACCCCTGCATGTGGTTCCAGTGCCAATTGTTGCACACTGATCTGGTGAGACCAACGGAAAGGGAAAGGGTAAGGAATCAATCGTGGATGTGTGGAGATTTGAATTATTATTGCCTTCCACTACAATCGAGGATGCGACTGCGTCGTTCTAAAAATTGGTCTGAGCAAATGTGGCAGTTGCATGGCCTGAGGTGGGCAACGCATGCGGCGACCAGAGAGAGGAGCCACTAGGTATTCCCAGATATGTCTGCAGAGCATATGTTAAATCATGGGAGATGCGAGTCTGATGTTCATCGTTTGAATTTATATCTCATCTACATGCATTTGCTAAAAGATAGTGGTCTTTGGAATACTTAAAGAAGATTCTCGACCTAAAGTTCGTGACGGACGGCACTTTAGTCGCTCTTTTGGAAAACCATCTTGTTCTTGATATGACCCAGCTTCTCGATCTCGACCTCAACCACATCACCATCGTTCAAGCAGCCATTGGTGTGCCATCCTACGCCCTCCGGCGTTCCGGTCATAATGATAGTGCCTCGACGCAGCGTGCGACCGCGAGACGCGAATGAGATGAGCTGGCGGCATGACCAAATCATCTGAGACGTGTCACTGCTTTGACGGACGGTGCCGTTCACAGTGGTCGTGAGCTTCAGATTTTGTGGGTCGGGGATCAGCTTAGGGGACACTAGGCTGGGTCCAATAGGTCCGAATCCGTCAAAAGACTTTGCGTAGCCCATTTGATATCCGGAGACGTCGAGTGCGTGAAGGTTACGCGCTGACACGTCGTTGCTTACGGTGTAACCAAGAACGTAATCCAGCGCCTCGTCTTCGCTGATGTCGAATCCATCTTTGGCGATCACAACGCTTAGTTCACCCTTGTAATCAAGTAGCTCCTGCGCGTCTGGATGGATCTTGATATCGTCCAGCGGTCCTGAAAGCCTGTCGGGAGGGGTGGCAAAAATTACAGGCTTCTTGGGCGGTTGGAACTTTGAATTGAGAAGTAATCCTTAGCGCCTGCTTTGTTGGAAGCCTTTCAGGTTCAGTCGCATCACTCTCACCTTTGTTTCGCTTGCATGAGACTTGTAATTGACCCCAGCACAGATAATGAGGGGTGTGTTTGGCAGCGGACACAATAGCTACGTAAATGAGATTAGTCTGTGTAAACTTCAGTTCGAGATTGGACAGTCCTACTTTGCCGACTACGGCTTGATCATCAGATACGTTGAAGCCAGACTCCAAAGTACCCAATACTACTTGCACTGTCTTTCCAAGCAGCTCCGATGCCGGAACGTTGTTGTCAATATTACCATATCTCTCAACGCCTTCCGCGTCTTCAAATCGTATCAATCTGTCAAATGACATGACAACTTATTGAGATGAAGTTTGTCTTTTGTCCGGTTTCGTTTTGATTATGAGTGACCCGAAAACAAGAGGGCGTGGATTACTGGCTGCTCTGAAGCAAACATAATTTTTGTCGTCGGTCGAGTGAGATTATATCTTAGAAGGACGGGAGACATTACGTCGACGCAGTCTGGTCTCGCAGCGCGTTGACGGCAGTGGTGGACTGTGCTGGAGAGAATGGCCGGCCGAGGATTTGCCTTTCGGCAACTTACACCGAGATCACGGGAGTTAAGTCGCCAGTCAGTTTACCCCAATTCGGGGATTCGGAGGGCGAGGGCAATAAGAAGCGTGGAAATAACAGTAATTACCACTCTCTTCCAACAAGCGTGATCATTAAACTTTCATATTCACATTCAACCCCTCCGCTACGTTGCTCCTCAGACTGATCGTCACCACTGCATTCAGTTCACATAATGACCCAACATTCGGCTGATTCTCGCATCCTTCTCGAGCGTCTCTCTCACGTCCGTTATGGCCACCCCGACATTCAGAAAGCAAAGGAGTTCTATACCGACTTCGGTTTGATACCTGTGCGGGAAACCGAGGATAAGGTCTACCTACGAGGATTCGGAATTGATCAGTTTTGCTACGTTGCTGAAAAGACGAACGACGGCATGAGGAAGTTCAGGGGAGGCGCTTGGATTGTGCAGTCCATGGCTGAGCTAGAGAAGGCGGCGAAGCTCCCCGGATCTACCCCGATCACCGACTACGATGCTCCAGGTGGAGGGAAAGTCGTCATTGTCAAGGATCTCCTAGGAGAGCCAATCACTTTGATCTACGGCCAAGAAGACCGCGTCCCCGAGCCTAGAGAGGTTCCCAAGCCAGTAATGTGGAATACCTGGGAGGACAAGAAGAGGCTGGGTGAGTTCCAGCGACCAGATCGAGACCAACCATCGAAAGTACACAAGCTCGGTCATTACGGGTTCGAAGTGAACATCGATCGTCTGCACGAGGTCTTTGACTGGTATAGCGAGGTTTTTAATTTCAAAAAGACCGATTGCCTTTACCACCCCCAGAATAATAAGACAATCATGATCTTCATTCATCTCGACAAGGGCAAGGAGTTCGTCGATCATCATGTTGGTGTCTCCCCGAACACTCTGAGATTTTGTATGAGCTGACATATAAAATGCAGAACATCTTCATCGCTGGTTCGCCCGAGGTTACCGATGGAATCAAGGCTCATCATAGCAGCTGGGAGATAGATGATGTTGACAGCCAAGTAGTTGGCCACCACTACTTGATCCGCAAGGGACATATCAACGTTTTCGGCGTGGGAAGACATGTCCTCGGCAGCCAGATCTTTGATTACTGGTAAGAGTCTTAGCTTCAAATGTTTCCTTGATCATGGCATCCCTAATATCCCTGTCTAGGTTTGATCCCTCTGGATTTGTTGTCGAGCATTACGTCGACGGCGACCTCGTGAACGAAGACTCTCCAAATGCCAATGAGCCAGCTGTTGCTGCCACAGTCTCCAGCTGGGGACCGGATATTCCTCGTGCCTTTTTCACGAAGAGATACGAAGATCTACCGGGACTCAAGGATTTCCCTACCATGCCGATTGAGGCATAGATTTGAGGGCACAAACAAGGCACTGAGAAAGGAGGCTACGGAGAATACTTGCGAGAACTTAGGCCATAGTAAGAAGAATGCAGCGGTTTTATCAGTGTCAAGAGCAGTTTCAGAAATGAAGCACGCGTATTGGACCTTACTTAGTTGCGCAGTATTTACATTGGGTTTTCTGGTCCGCTTGGATCCAATGGGTCTTGGGAATGGAAAAAACACCCACGGATGTGATAATATTCTGAGCTCGACGAGTTCTTGTCTCAACTACGAACAGCTGTTGATTTGGTGAGATATTTGCTTTCGGCCACTCTCGGTGCATATATCCCGAAGATCCGTCTGAAGTATGGGTCTCAAACCACCAGGACGCACATATCAATGACCAAAGTATTTTACCTTACTAAGTAGAGGCCCCCTTACTCCCACTGCGAATTTGACAACCATCAAGTTGACAAGATTCCTACTTCCATTCTTGCTTCTGAAGCTTAGGTTCCCTGCTCCACTTGTTTCAACCTACCATACTAGACACTCTCGCTAAATTCAACGCCCGCGCAGACCATGTCACCACCAGTTCATGCGCCTATACCGCCCCGGGGGACTATGACGAACAAGGTAGCCCTCGTGTCGGGTTCGTCAAAAGGCATTGGGGCTGGAATTGCAATGGAACTCTCAAGTCGTGGAGCAAACATCGTTCTGAACTACCCTTGGGGTTCTTTGAAGCAAGAATGCGAAGCTACTGGAGCGAAACTCCAAACTGATTGGATCGCGGTCTGTGCCGACCTCACGGCGGATGAAGGGCCAGAAGAATTGGTGCGTCAAGCTGTGGCAAGGTTCGGTCGCATCGATATCCTCGTGAGCAATGCCGGATACGTGCCCATTGCACACCTTTGGGACGCTGACTTGAGCATGTGGGATCAAGCCATGAACCTGAATGCACGCGGCGCTTTCGCACTGGTCAAAGCAGCGCTCCCACATCTCACGCCTTACAAACCGGCCGACCCTCCGAACATGTCTGGTACTATTGGCGGCTCGCGCATCATCATGGTGGGGTCAGCGGCGTCCCGAGTACCGAAGCCGACTCAAGGAATCTACGCAGCGACCAAAGGGGCTTTGGATGCAATCTTGCGTGTTTGGGCAAAGGAATTACCACCGAAGTACGGCTGCACGGTCAACATGGTTGCACCAGGCCCAGTACTGACAGAGAGTTTTTTGGAGCACTTCTCTCCCGAAAAATGGGAAGGATTGAGAGAAGTCTTCATCAGAGATACACCGGTGGAAGGTGGTGCGGCATCTGTTGAAGATGTCGCATGGGCAGTTGCGTTCTTAGCTGAGGAGCGATCACGGTTCATCAACGGCGAGTACATGTTTGTGACAGGCGGTGTGTCCATGCAATAGAAGCTTTTTGTCAATTCATCTTACTTCCTAATTGACCATTATCCAATCACTACATTTCTTAACTACCTTACACCACTAATGTGAAATCTATTACGCACACCGACTGAAATTTGACAATTTGGTTTGTTCAACTTATGCAATGATTGAAATGGCACACAACAAAACATGGATACACCGAATCTGCCTACTTCTATCTACCATTCCGAATGCACCAAATTAAGTTAATTCCTCTTTCACGACTGCATGTGCTCCATGATGGCACTTATCACATAACTTTAACTCAGCTCTCTCGATCTGAAGCAGTCTCGTTCGTAAGTCGACTCGTCAACAGCAACTCCCAGTCGGGGTCGGGAATAACCTGCGCTCGTTAGAAAACCATTAGCATTCCGATCGTCGATAGCAGAAGGCAAGGCGTCGTTCTTACCAATCCCTCGAACTCGATGTTTTTCGGCCGCGTCTTCAAATCCCCAGATAGCCGGATATCATAGCGCGTGATATACTCGATCAGTAACAGCTTCATGGCGACCTCGGCAATGTATCGGCCTGGACAAGCATGCCTGCCATAACCCCATGTTAGGTCCTTTTTACCTACTGTCACCATTTGATTGCTGCTTCGGGCCTCTTCTTTAGCGACGCGCATTCGATAGAATCGGAGACCATCAAACACCTCAGGATTCTGGAACAGATCTTGGTCCATGTTGATGGCTCCAGTCGGCAATGCGATGCGTGCGCCTTTCGGGATGCGAAGGCCGTTTGATAATGTGAAGTCCGACATAACCTTCCGCTGGAAGCTTGCTGTTATGATTCGTTGATGTCAGTTGAAACGTCCCCTCGTTGCCGTAGTATTGTGTTGGACTTGTACGTACCCAGATCCGGCGGGTTCAATCGCTGAGTTTCCTTGATGACACTATCCAGCTTCATCATATCCGTCAATGATTGCTTACTGAGTACCCCGTTCCCTCGAGCCAGGACCATTTCAATCTCATCACGAAGTTCAGAAATGTACTCCGGGTAAGTCGCAAGATCCATGAGACACTGGGTGACTGTTGCAGCCATAGATTGAATGGCGGCTACGCACAAGTTGATTTGAGCAACTGTGTGCGCCTCCACGTCGTCTGGGCCAAGAATCGTGTCGGCAAGATAGTCCAGCAGTGCGGGAGGACTGCTCAGGGGCTTCTCTCCAAGCAGCCTTCTTCTTTGCAAAGTCTTGGCTACCAAAGCTTTGCCTTCGCCAAAGCGCTGCATCATGATTCCGCGTCCCTTGACAAATCGATGGACAAAAGGTCGCAGCGCTGCTGGCCACTTCTTCAGATTTTCCGTCCAAACGACAGCAGAATGAACATGCTCGCTGGCAATATCCAGCCATTGATCATTGTCCGCCGACTCAGCGCTGTTAAATAGTCTTGCGGAGACACGAGAAACCTGACGCATAACGTGTGGCCACGGCTTGACAACTGTGGGAACTATTCGAAAAGTAAGTATTGCCAAAGGGGAAAGCATTATTAGGTGGAGTCCAAGTGTCTTCAAGAAACGCCTGAGAGCTAGGTTGCTGTGGCTGAAGGATTCAAGGATTCGAGACTTACCTGCATAGGTTTCGAGTGGCCAGTGGCTGCGTATCAAATCAATAAGTACTGGAACATATTGCGCTGAGAAGAGTTAGATGCATGATTGAGTCTTGGAACAATAACTTCCGAGGACTGCTCACGAAGACTCGGGTTCAGCTTCTTATTTACGATGGCGATTTGTTTCTCATCGAGGTTGCCAACTTTAGTATACTTCTTCATACTAAACTACCATCCCCAGAAGGTTGAGCAGCGAGTTAGAAACGACTTCTTCACTGTTACGAGAATAAGTGAATTTCATGTCAGGTACGTACCTCTTCTTCGAGAAATGCAGCGAAACTCAGGGACTTGTGGCTTCCTAGCCCGTGGAGTAGCTCGAGGGGTATAATGATGTTCGTGCCTGCAAAGTTGTCAACGGCAGGGAACATTTCGCGAATGTCCCCTAGTATTTTCCAACTAACCTTCAGTCGTGTTTATCCCAAATACCCGATTTTGGAACTTATCGTTGTCAGAAATTCAGCTTGGAACCCCGTTGTTGCTAATCACAATCGCAAAAGAAATGAGCATACTTTGTTGTAACTTGTGATGAACAACCTTCTTGTGTCTTTGATGAAAATATCAATTCGCTCCTGTCGATCGGGTACCTCATCTTCCAATGCAATCGAAAGTTTTGGCATTCTGACCTCGACTGCAAATGACCAGAGAAGCAGCACCCCGAAGGCGCAAGCGCAAAGAATTGTCCATCCCGCCACTGCCAACAGGTTTTGCTGAAACTTGTCCCTTAAGATTGGGTAGTAGAGCCCAATTTGTGCAGACATTGTGTATAAGTTTTGTGATAGCAGTGGCTTGTGCTGGGTCTATTGAGTTGTGCTGTGTTCTTTTGACGGTGTGAGTTAAAGTTCAAGTGAACATTGAGAAGACGTTATTCATGTCTTGTCTATTGACCTCCCCGAAGCTTTCCAGTCATTATGCCAAGACCGATTGCTTTCCCAACCCTGGCAGATTGTATCAGCTCAGTCACATGCCTGGGGCGTGATTGAGCTCCGGAGTTTTCGGCCGACACGCTATGGCGGCTTACAGGAGCTCGGTTTCTCGGTCATTCTGCCAGGCGTCCAAGCAAGCACGTATCCCGGGTACTAATTTTGAATTCTTTACTGTATAGGATATGGTCACAACAGGGCGATTCTGGCTAATGCCCAACCGAGTGGTTAATAGAATGCAGCACCTAGAATCAGACGCCTTCGGTCACTAGCTGAAGCATTAAGAAACCTTTTCGGATTCTATTATCTAGTATAATGCATCTGTGTCAGCTCAGATCTCATATCTCAGTCACTGTGTCATCCGTCTCCTGGGCCTGACATCTACCTCACGCCCCATCATTGTCTTTGCTGAGTGAATACGTGCTTGATTTCCAATGTCACCAGACAAAGACCTCAGTCTGGCCATCGTTGGCGGTGGTATCGGTGGCCTCTGTCTGGCCCTATACATCACAACTCACACGAAAATCCCGGTCACTGTGTATGAGAATGCTCCAAAATTCGGCGAGATAGGAGCCGGTGTCGCCTTCGGACCAAATGCAGTACGAGCAATTACGAAGATATCGGAGCCACTGGCGGCTGCAGTTGAAGCTCGGGCGAACAGAAACATTTTCGCAGACAAGGAAAACATCTGGTTCGACTTTAGAGTCGGGATGGACAGCGCCGATGAGACCGCCAGAGCCCGTGGTGTCGTTGCCGGGACGTACCTCTGCTCTGTGGAGCATCCCGAACCAGGAAGCTGGATGGTGAATCGCTCGCATCTTGTTGATGAGATAGCCAAGCTCCTTCCGACTGGAATAGCGCAATTCAGCAAGGCTTTACACGGTATAGACGACCTTGGAGACAATGGTGTCCTTTTGAAGTTTGGGGATGGGACGTCAGCGAGGCATAGTGCCGTCATCGGATGCGACGGGATCAAGAGTCAAACCCGACGCATCATGCTTGGAGAAGATCATCCCGCCACCAATCCCTCTTATACCGGCAAATACTGCTACAGAGGAATGGTTCCGATGGACAAAGCTGTGGAGCTTCTAGGCGAGGAGAAGGCGAAGAACTGCCAAGCATATCTAGGGTATCACGGCCACATGCTCACCTTTCCCGTTGCTGGTGGTAGAATGATGAATGTGGTCGCCTTTCAGTCGTCAAAGGAATGGCCTCACAAGACGATGGTCATCCCGGCAACCAAGGAACAGATGCTGCAGAGTTTCAGCACATGGGGTCCGGATGTACTCAACATTGTTCGACTTATGGGCCAATCAGGTATTTGGGCGCTCTTCGATCTTTCGCCTATGGAGAATTACCACAAGGGCAGGATTTGTCTCCTCGGAGACGCTGCGCACGCTTCAACACCCTTTCAAGGAGCCGGTGCAGGTATGGCCGTGGAGGATGCCTATGTTCTCGGAAGGCTCCTCCACAATGTCCAGCAAGCACAGGGTCTGCCTGGCGTTTTCAAATCCTTCAGTCGAGCTCGAGTTGAACGCACGCAAAATCTCGTTGCTACAAGCCGAGAAGCTGGTCACTTGTGGCACTTTGAAGCTGAGGAGGATGACCTTGTGAAGATCACGGAGATTATGAAAAACAGGATGAGTTGGATTTGGGACAAGAACCTTGATGATGACATTGCGCAGGTTACCACAAATTCCCAGAGAGCAGATATTCAAGACTAGGTAGCTTCAAGTACTTGTGTGTATTGTAGTGATGATACTCATACTAGTATTTTGTGTATTGAGCATGTGGAGTGCAAATATGAACCGGCTTGATGAGAAACACACCACGTGGGCAGGTAAACACCATAGAATCTTATGAACCCGGCAAAGACAGATGATCATACGTTTGAAAAGTACTTTACGCACTTGGCAGCCCAGAATTTGAGCTGGAAGCAAGCTGAATATTTAATACTAAATGTCTAGGGACACGAGCTCTTGTCCAATCTATGCCTTTGGAACAGCGGGACTGATGCTCATGCTCTGTTCAATGTCGTGGATGATATCGTCAATGTGCTCGATGCCAACTGAAACTCTGACCATTTCCGGCGCAACTCCAAGATCGATCTTTTCCTGTGGTAGCATAGGTTTATGTGTTGTCGACCAGGGGTGCATGGCAGTCGTTTTCGCGTCTCCATATCTAACTATAAATCAGCACAAGTAGCAGGTGTGTGCCAACGGCACGGTATTCGTCACTTACCCTGGGTTATTCGAGATCATCTTGAAGTTGTCAACCAGCTGTTCACCAGCATCCGCTCCGCCCCTGATTCCAAACATAAGTACCGCCCCAGCTCCGCGGGGTAGATACTTCTGCGCGAGCTTATAGTGAGGGTGACTAGGAAGACCAGGATACGAAACCCACACTACGTTTTCGTGTTTCTCAAGCCAGTTCGCGAGAGCAATGGTATTCTGAGCGTGTCGCTCGCAGCGTAGACTCAGAGTCTCGATCCCGAGCACGAACTGCTGGCTGTTGAAAGGAGAAAGACAGGATCCAACGTCTCGGAGGATCTGCCCTCGAATGCGCATGATAAAGGCCTCTCTCCCAAATCGCTCGGAAAAGTTCAACCCATGGAAGCCAGGACATGGTTTGTTGAACTGTGGGAACCGAGTCGAAGATCTCCAGTCAAAGTTGCCAGAATCGACGATGATACCGCCGGTTGCACTCCCGTGACCGCCGATCCACTTGCTCATGCTCTCGACGACGATGTCTGCTCCGTGCTTTATGGGCTGGCAGAAGTATGCGCACCCGACGGTGTTCTCGACTACAAGAGGAACTCCCTTCTCATGAGCAACTTGCGCAATAGCTTCGATGTCCGGAACATTGAAGTTGGGGTGTCCGATAGTTTCGATATAGACGGCTTTGGTGCGTTCATCAATTGCTGCTCGGACTGCTTCCACAGATTCTTCCACGACGCGACATGTTACGCCGAACTCTGGTAGGAGAAAAGAAAATTGATTATATGCGCCGTGATAGTAATGCTTCGTCGCTACAATGTTCTCACCGTGTCCAGCCAAAGCAACCATGGTCATGAACACGGCTGCCTGACCGGACGAAACTGCCACGGCTGCAACGCCACCTTCAAGGGCTGCGACACGACGTTCAACCACGGCTGTAGTTGGATTACCCGTGCGGGTCGCAATTTCACCCTCTTCCTCAAGGTTAAATAGCCGAGCAGCATGAGCTGAACTGTGGAAGTTGAAGACGTAGGTCGAGTAGATCGGGACCCCACGCGCAAGCGTTGCAGAGTCAGGAGTTTGCCCTGCGTGGACTTGTAGAGTCTCAAATTTGGGAACATGGTTAGATCCATTCTGGGCGACTTGAATCACTCGCACATTCTGTTTTTGGTCTTGTTGGATGGTCGCCATTTTCGAGTCTAGCGGGAAGTTTTCTCGACTTAGGATTGTATGTAGTGAACAACAGCAAAGGGTGGTAATGTCAATAAGAAAATGACGAAGCCCTTCGCCACAATATGCTTTCAAATTATTGTCTCAAGTCCAAGAAATGGCTCACGACCTGAGATTACTATGACTAGTTGCAATTCAGTTGGCCCATGTCGTTGGAGCAATGGGTCTAGTAAGACGGCGGGGTGGGTAAGAGGCATTATCTCGGGCATCTCGGGCCTTCGGCTGGCGACCCCGAGTTGGAAGGATGGTTCGCTGGAATTCGGGTGCCGCGGCATTCCATGCTTGCAATCATTCATGATGCATCGAGTGATTCTCCCTCGTGCCAAGATACCAAACGTCTTCAGTCCAATGTCCGAGATTTCATATATTCCAGCCTGAAGCTGCAACTACTGGCCATCTGGTCTGAAAAAGGAGTATCAACGCATCGTACTCTCTACTTTATTTACAGTCACTCCACACAAATCTATAAAAATGACTGCCGGCAAGAAATTGAAAGTCATCATTGTTGGCGCCGGCTTCGGCGGGCTTGGAGCCGCAATCGAATGTGCACACCGTGGCATGGATGTCACGGTGTTGGAGAAGTATCCTGACTCCAATAGCCAAGGTGGTAAGCATCACCAAACCGCCCCTCTTTTTGTGTGGCAGAGCTTTGGTCGCAATGATCTACGAAACTCACTACGGTTCTCCTTGGCAGATATTCTTGATTTCTTCCCCAATGCTGGCCGTATCATCAATCGATGGGATGCAGGCAAGGTTGGCCAGCAAATTCACGACACAGGTTGTAGTCAAATCCGCACCATGGAGCTGTACAAGTACGACAGCAAATTCATCGTTGATGTTCCGTGGGCAAGGGATGGAAAAGAACACAACATCACCTATGCAGGCCACCGAGGCAAGATTCACTCGATTTTCCTTGCTTATGCGAAGACCTGTGTCCAGGACATCAGGATCGGCGTCTCAGTCACGGATTACCTTGAAGAAGAAAGCCAAGCAGGTGTGAAGCTCAGCACTGGCGAGACTATTTGGGCCGACTGTGTCATCGCCGCAGACGGCCCACGATCCATCGCTCGAGCACAGGTTTTGCATCTTGACGACAAGAAGATCGACGAGACCACGAGCGGCTGGTCTGTGTTCAGAAGCTTCTTCAAGACTGACGAAACGATGAGAAATCACCCCGGAATCAAGGATCTTTTCCACGAGGATAGAGATACTGTTCGATTCTGGATGTATGACAACTTGAGCCTGATGGCCTTTGTTTGGAACCAAGCTCAAGATATTGCCTGGGTCTTGGTTCATCCGGTGAGCGCTTCAGCGTTTACCCAAGATAATGTCGATAACTTACTTACTGACTCACGTTGATAGGACGACAAAGAATCATCTGAATCTTGGTCCAATATCGCCGAAAGAGAACATGTAGCAAAGTGGATGAGTTTCTTCCCAGGAAGAGATGCACAAGCGCTCCTCGACGTTACACCTTCTAACAAGACCATCGATTTCAAGCTGGTCTATCGGCCAACCATAGACACTTGGGTTAGCAAAGGTGGCCGCACGATTCTCATCGGAGATGCTGCTCATGCCAACCTTCCTACTGCCGGACAAGGCGCTTCTCAAGCTCTCGAAGACGCGGTGACGGTTGCTGAGTGTTTACAGTCATCCAACGGAGACGTCAAACTAGCACTTGAAGCCGCACAACGGATCCGGTACCATCGGTCCAATGCAGTGCACAAGAGTGGACAACAGAATAGAGACGCATTCTACAAGATTCCCTGGGATGACATCGAGGCGGCCCCGGAAGAGTGGGCCAAGAAGCGGTTCCCCAAGCTGAAGCCCTGGGACCCTTTGGGGTTTGCAAGAGAGCAGTTTCCCAAGGTTGCTAAGGACATCAAAAACGGTGTCACGGGACATCTTAACGATGTAGCTGTGGCTCCGCCCCCTGGCGGGTACTGGTGATTTGAATTTTTGATGAAGCTCGCACACCTAAGAATGCTTTGAGTTGTTACGTAACCAACTTATTAGAGTATATAGCATTGGCACGCATACTAGATGCATGATTTAGAAATGTTGGAATATTGATCCGAAGTATCAGGTTTGAAATGTGTAGTTACATTCGAAAACTCCATACGATTAGCTGTGTTTAAGAATGGACGGCCAAGTTTACTCTCATAAAGATTTGCCAATTCTCCCATGCCAATTGAGTAAAAGGGCGAGCGAAAGCACATATGCCAAGGATTGTGGTAAGTAGACAATGAAACCATGAGCGTATGGAAACGACTTTGGGGGGATCTTGAATTCTTGGCCTGGCATGAGTTCTCAGAGATTGACGTTGCAGTGAGTCTATCGCGATGTCATGTTGCTTGCACTATTACTCCCTACGAGAATATCGAGATGTTGTGGTGGGGTGCAGGGACTCCGTACACTCCCTGCAAATTACATCTGCCGAATTCTCAGCGCCCAGCTGAACTGGAAATGCTTTCTCGGCGGGCATTCCGTCTCTACCATGCCACGTACCATGCTGAGTCAGAACTCTCAAACCGGTTCCTGCCTGCGTCGGTAAACCATCATACTCGGGCTCTGGAACTTGAAAGCCGATTGAGACACTGCTGGCGTATACGGATAGCGCAGTCGTAACATCGGAGACGAAACCTAGTGGCGGATGCACATCTGTACGGGAATTCGTCACACATACTGTACAGAAATGAGGGTCCTTGGGAATTCCCATTTTGCGATCACAGAGGGGAGAAGGGGGGAACTATAATGTTAGCCTGAGGCATTCGGCCGAAGCTAGTGCCTAAAGCTCGGCACTCTCGGGAAATACGCCGCTCAGCTATGAGCATGCCGCACAACTCAGCACGCACACAGCCAGACAGCGCGCGCTGTCTCTGAATCTACGGCGTTTGGTTCAGGTGCACCCCTATCACCGGACACTCGTGGGTTCGTTGATCTAACCCGGAATGTCTTATCTATCGCTTCATGGTGTGTAGCAAGAGAGTGTGTGGTATCTCTAACGCGTACCTGGAAAAAAGAGAAAAATGCGCAGGTGGCCGGCTCAGCGCTCAGATCAACGTCAAGAAGAGATTTTTGAGTTGTCTGCGAATGAGTTGACAACTGCTACATTGACTTTAGATCCCCCAAATCACCACAACCAACACTTGAGTACACCCGACTGCCAGTCTACGGAGACAATTCAACCTCAAACTCAGACTCCGACTGTAACACCAGCAGAAAATACACCTCCGCATCCTGGATCCTCCGCCATCATGGCTTTGCTCACCCCCGGGCCAATCGTCTCACACGTGCTCATGGTCCTCGTGGCCATGTTGAACATCTGCATTCTTTCTTATGATGCTGGGATGATCAACAACTTGAACTCGGTTAAGCCATACCAAGACTGTGCGATTATCTGCCCGACCCAGTTTCCATAGCTAATGACTTTCAATAGACTTCAAGTTGAATAGCGATATGATTGGATTGAATGTTGCCATCATTAGTGCCGGTTCGATCTTCGGTGCCCCGATAGTGGGTCCCGTCGTTGATCGTTGGGGACGGAAGACCGGCCTCGCCGTTGGCTCCATCTGTATCATTCTCGGAGTTGTACTTCAAGCTTCGGCCTCGAAGGGTGAGAGCTCTTGCGGAAACGTTTTGCAAGTACGACTACTCACCAGCAACGCAGTTCCACAGCTCATCGTCGGCCGCTTCATTATCGGATTTGCCTCCCTCATTAATGGTTCCATTGCTCCCATGTGGGTTATGGAGGTGGCGGCGCCCAAGTATAGCTCAATTCTTTCAAGCACCGTCTTGACATCCGTACCTTTCACGTCGTTCTTGGTCAGTTGCATTGTCCTGGGCATCTACGACAAGCAGTCCGACTGGGCATGGAGAGGACTTATGCTTGTAAGTGTCTATCCCCTTGAGACAACATCAAGGCTCTATCTGATGTCTCTTAAACAGGGAGAAGCAGTGCCTTCTATCATCTCCCTGTCTCTCTTACCATTCGTCGACGAAAGCCCACGCTGGTTGTTCTCAAAGGGCCGCCATGACGAGGTAACGACGTGAAACATACTCCTGGTTTAGGGTCATTCGACTGAATATTTCTCAAGGCAATAGGGGTGCTCGCTCGATTACATGCGAACGGAAACCGGGAAGATGCTTTGGTACTTTCAGAAACACAAGAAATTGTCGCGGCTTTGAACCACGAGAAGGAGAGCAATGGAGGGTGGAAAGATCTCATTGCGCCATGTGAGCCAGCTTCAGCCAAGATGAGTCGCCGAGTTGACAACTAACTAACGGGGAAACACATCAGCCCCAAACCTAAAACGGTTCACAATCGCTATACTAACGAATATCTTCTATCAAATTCTAGGCGGAAATATGATCTTGTATGTTACAAGGACATAATCACATTCTGATTGTTCTAGCGCTGACGAAATCTTCTAGATACTTCTCGTCATTCTTGATTGGAAAACTAGGAGTTTCTGAGCGGAAGTCTGTAATCCAGATCAACATCGGTTTGCTGCTGTGGAAGGCCTTTTGCAGCGTGGGCGGTGTCCTCATCATCGACAAGATAGGAGCTCGCAAGCCATTGAGTAGATGCCCCTCGACATGAGTTTTCCGCTGGATTGATCTGACCTCCTTGTCTTTCTACCTAGTTACCGGAACTTCCGCCACAGTTGTTCTGTTTGGAATTCTGGCCGGCCTGTCTTACCTGACCGAGGTCCATCCCGAGACAAATGCGTATGCCATCGGTGCGATTGTCGTTGTTGCCCTGTTCCTACTTGCAGTTGCGGCAAGCTGGTACGTGAACGAGCTCTCAATTTCCTCAAGTTTACTAAAATTCGTGCAGGAGCATCTTGGCCTACACTTACCCTCCTGAGGTGCTGCGATACTCTCAGCGCGCTAAAGGGGTCGTAGTTGCCCAAGCAATCGGGTATGCATTCAGCTTCCTCAACCTTTACACCACTCCTCTTGCTATCGAAAGAATCTCTTGGAGATACTATGCCATCAACGGTGGTTGGAATCTTGGAATACTATTTGTCGTTACTTGGCTGTTCGTCGAAACCAAGGGCAGAACCTTGGAGGAGATGGATGAAATCTTTGACGGGGTTGTCTACTCGAACAATGTCATCATTGATGGCCAGAATTCTAAGAGTGATTTGGGGAAGGACGTCGGTGATAGTAGCAGTGTGGCCAAGAGGAAGCTTAGCAAGGTCAGCACCCGGGAGTAAAGCAGATAAGTCAACATACCCACTTCCTGGCACCCCCCTGTTTCTGGCACCCACAAAAACGCGAAAATCCACCACAACCCAATGCCCACCCCCAACCTCCTTTTATCACAACATTTTCAATTCGCGTCCAAATGGGCTCATCTTTTGCACATGTCTTCTTCTATATATAATGCCTCAATATACCGAAGATCAGCTTCGTCAGGCTCTCGAGGA